AAAAATAATTAGAGTACAACGATGTTGTTCACCAGCTGTATATCAATTTCAAAAAGGCCTTGACCGCCAGAAACTGTATATCATTCTAATCGAGCAGGGGATTCCAAAAAAAAAAAAAAAATAGTAAATCTAGTTAGGATGTGCTTGACGGAAATAAAGTTAGAATCGGAAATAATTTATCGGAAAACTTTGAGATTCGTTCGGGTTTAAAACAGGGTTGATTCCCTTTCGCCTGTCCTGTTCAATTTGGCATTAGAACATGCCATTAGGGAGGTAATGCGTACCGAAAAAGGGTTTGATCTGGGTGGGACAACACCAGTCCTTGGCTATGCGGATGATCTAGTCCTGTTAAGCGAAGACACGGAAACTATAAAAGTAAATACGACAACGTTAATGAAAGCTGGTAAAGAACTAGGGCTCGAAATAAACACGGATAATACAAAATATATGGCTAGGAGCAAAAATGGCGATTTTGCTGGTGATATCGATATAAAAGGTAATTTGTTTGAACATATAGAGAAGTTTATGTATCTAGGGTCTACGATAATCAAAAATAAAAAATAAATAAATAAAAAATAAAACGAAATTGGACAGGATATTAAGTTTAGGCTGAAGGCGGGAAATGCTTGTTGTTTGTCTGTAACAAAACTACTTAGCTCGCGTATCTTGTCCCGGAATTTAAAGACTAGAATCTATAAAACCATTATCTTACCTAAGTCCTTTATGGATGCGAAACGTGGCGGCTTACATTAAGGGATGAGCGACGTCATAAGGTTTTTGAAAATAAAGTATTGCGTAAAATATTCGGACCGAAGAAGGATGAGATAACTGGAGAGTTCAGACGATGACACAACGCCGAATTGCGTGAACTGTATCCGGTTAATATAATTAAAGTGATTACATCGCGTCGAATCAAACGGGCTTGTAAAATTGTTGAGCTTAGTAGTGAAAGAATTCCTAAAAGGTTAATATTTGCAATACCTAATGGTAAATGTCCAAGGGGAAGGCCAAGGCAAAGGTGGGAAGATTGCGTTAAAGCCGATCTCAAGGGACTAGGTTTAGACGGTTAACGGTGGAGGGATGTGTGTAATAGGCGATTGGTGGTGTCGGCATCGAATCTTCGGCTTCGCTAAGCCTTTTATTGTTATTATTATACTTATTTGCTACCAATATTTCTGTTCTGATATTAGTGCGGTATCGAATTTCAGTTGGCATCGGAAAATTCTAATAATCTGATTATTAATTGGAAAAAGGTAACAATAAATAAATGGAGTTCTATAAAGTATCAATATTTTGGAGCCAATATTTTAATTTATACTTGTCTGGTACCAATACTTTTGCTGGTCCTGGCCTATCCTAACAGTTACAACATATTTGTAAATATCGTGCCCCTAGTCTGAATGCCTAAGTCCATCACCACCTTCTCCAATGGCGAATTAAACAATATACATGCCAAAGCATCATTTTCTCTCAGTCCTTTATTGGTGTGAAATTCCAAGAAGCATTCCGAATGAATGCGTACTCTGCTCTGCACGTCCTGCATTGTCATTCTTACCAGACAAATTAGGTTAGAGGGGATGTTGAGTTCTCTCATTGCTTCATACAACTTGTGCCTCCTTATAATACCGTAAGCGCTCTTGAAGTCAATAAACGGATGATGAGTGAGAATTTTATACTCATAACTTCTTCCTAGAATCGTTCGAAGTGTGAATATTTGATCAATAGTTGATCTACCCTTTTGAAAACCAGGTTGATATTTTCCAATTTGACAATCAGCGAATGCAGCTAGTCTGTTGAACAGGATGTTGAAGAGTATCTTACAAGCACACTGCAGTAACGACATCGCTTGGTAGTTAGCGCATTCAAATTGTTCTCTTTTTTTTGTGTACAGGACATATGACCGCATATTTCCATTGAAGGGGCATTCTTTCCTGTGTCCATAATCCTGTGTGATAATCTGATTACTAAGGGGGAAAATGGAATATGAGTAACCGTGAATGTTTGATTTTTTTACATTTAAATACAAAGTGAAATGTATTATTTTATTTCTAGGCAAAACAGCTGTTCTATTTAAAAAGATATTTAAAAACAGCTGTTCTAAAAGAGAAAACAGAAACAGATGTTACTTAAGTATTAGTGTTAGTTAGAAAGAATTGTGTTCTTAAAAAACAATGTGTGCTTTGTAAAGTTTGAAAAATATAAGTTTGTGTTTGTTTTTGTTTGAAAGTGCACTCAATCACTACACTACTTTATTTACAAGTTCCCATTGTTGTTCATTTTGTATTACGAAAAAGAGTACTCTAATGTATTAATACTTTGGAACCAGTATTTTAATTTATATTTGGTTGGTACCGATATTTTTGCTCTTATATTATTGTGGTATCGAATCTTAGTTGGTAACAGAAACTTCTAATAATCTGATTACTAAAGAAGATAAAGTAACAATAAATTAATGGAGTACTCTAATGTACTAATATTTTGGAACGAATATTTTAATTTATACTTGGTTAGTACCGATGCTTTTTTTTTTTTTATCGGAAACTTCTAATAATTTGATTATTAATAGGAAAAAGATAACAATACATAAATGGAGATCTATAATATATCAATACTATGAAACCGATATTTTAATTTATATTTATTTGGTTCCGATACTTTTGCTCTCATACTAGAGTGATATCGAATCATAGTTGGTGTCGGAAACTTCTAATAATCTGATTAAAAAATATAAAGATAAATCCGGGGTTAGAGTCCCCAAGCCTCACAAGCATACAAATTCTATTCAAAAACTATGTAGATATTTTTAGATAATAATTAATAAAGAAGATAATTATAATTGAAAAGTAATTCAGAAAGTCTTAGGAAATGCGCCCTCAACGAAGTATGGAAAGAACTAAGAACCAATCGAGTCATTGATGTCAAGAGGACAGATGGGGATTTTCTGTGTGGCCTGGATGAACTCAATCAATTTTTTTCATCCCATTTCTTGGTCTCCGGTAGTGCGGTAAAATGTTTTATACCGAAAAATGATTGTGTGGATGACCTTATTTTTTATGAGATCGATGAGGATGATATTGTCTGGAGTATCACTCGGGTGCAGCTGGAGTGGATGTGTTCTCAAAGAAGATGATCGAGATGGTGGAATCCACCAATGTCCTTGTCTAAATAATAAATGCATTTTTACAGCAGCGCAAGTTGCCCGAAGCGTGGAGACGATCGATACTCAGGCCTATCCCTGAAAAATTAAAGCCCATGACACCTTCGGATTACCGGCCAATCGCTCAATTGCCCATCGTATCAAAAATACTTGAAAGGTTAGTTGAGAAGATTTTTTAGGACTTAAGAAGATTTTTGGAAGATTATGAAATACTCTCTTCATTCCTGTCAGGATTTAGACAAGGGCGAAGTATATGCAATGTACTTCATGCAATTCTGACTGAAGTGCGTAGAGCGATGGACGAACCAATGTATTACATGCATTAAATGTTACAGTATTTGTATTACTCGATCTCACAAGAGCGTTTGACTCTTTCGACCACGAAATGCTGTACAGGAAATTCGGAGGCTTCGGGTATTACAATGGCTAAGAACATATTTGATCGGTTGTACCCAGCAAGTGAGAGCACATAACGATTGCTCGGGGTGGCTGGGTTGCAGCTCGGGTGTCCTAAAGGGTTCCGTTCTTCGACCGCTATTGTTCCTCAGGTACATTAATGATATTGGCACGAATCCGAAACACTGTAAAATTCACATGTTTGATGATTCACATTTGGGCCGCTGCATTGCCTGAGGGAAATGAGAATCTTTGGAGTGATGGTCGGTGGCTCGTTGTGAGCCATGTGTATGGCGTTATGCATTCTCTCTCAAGGTGGAAGAGACTATTGTTGACTGAAGTCAAGAAGATAATTGTATCTGCGCTAATATTCCCCCTGGTGTGTTATTGTCACTCAGTCTACATTGACATATCAGAATCAGAAGACAGCAGAATTAAGACGGTTCTAAACACCGCAGTTCGTTTCATGTTTTGTTCAAAAAGAGAAGACCACATTACTCCATATATAAATGCGTTAGGCTGGCGGCGAACAAAGGACTATAGGAGACTTAGTTTGATATGCCTCCTAGATCCTAAGGAGACTAAGGAGATCTTAAGGAACTAAGGGAAAGGTGCGTAGGGTACAAAGCGATAGGTTACAGGGAACATTTTAATTGCTGGTTCGCAGAACTGAGGTTTTCAGGAACGCATTCCACGCTGCAGTGGCGAGAGAGCTCAACCGGCTTATCTTACCAGCAGAGGTAAGATCGGTGCCCTTCTTCCAAAAGGCTTGTGTTAGGCGATTCCTCACCGAGGATTGGTCGAGTACACATTAAATATTCTAAGATCCTACAATTACTCTCTCCTGGTAATCTCTCTCTTATTTATTTTATTTTTTCTCTCTCTTACTTCTACTTATAATTTTATTTTATTTTTGATACATACTAACATCTGCGTTACATTAATTTTGCTAACATTAAAATTAAAATAAAATTGTAAAAAATATTGTAAGTAAGGAGCAATGTATATTGTAATTAAAATCGTAAAATTTAAAACGTTTTATATTTTTTCTGTAAGAAAGGGTCATAGACCCTAATACAAATCTCTCACTCTCTCTCTCCCCCCTCTCTCTCTCTCTCTCTCTCTCTCTCTCTCTCTCTCTCTCTCTCTCTCTCTCTCTCTCTCTCTCTCTCTCTCTCTCTCTCTCTCTCTCTCTCTCTCTCTCTCTCTCTCTCTCTCTCTCTCTCTCTCTCTCTCTCTCTCTCTCTCTCTCTCTCTCTCTCTCTCTCTCTCTCTCTCTCTCTCTCTCTCTCTCTCTCTCTCTCTCTCTCTCTCTCTCTCTCTCTCTCTCTCTCTCTCTCTCTCTCTCTCTCGAAAAGTTTTTTAATTTTACTTAAATAAGTAAAAGTTTCAGCAAAGGTCACTAATAAATGTATCTATATCTCATATATTGCAAAATGATATTTACCAGTATATAAGCGGTTTGGAATCGATTCAGCGATAGCATTCCACTCTGCATTCCATGCTGCTCCGCGGAGAAATAAACCGGATATCGTGCAGCCACTTTTACATTGCTTTGCATTTTCGACTACCTGTTCATTAAAAATATTGAAGAAATTAGTAATTAACATATATTATTAACAATAGAAAATTACAAAAGCTAAATGTTACACAACAACAAGGTTATTAATGATGGCAAAGAACGAAGTGGCTTGATTAGCTGCACGGAAGAATACGGTATTTTGTTTGGAGACACTTTTCTTTTTTATTATTATTAAATATAGAATTAAGCAGACCACTTGGTAAACATGCTACAGTATTTCAAGCAGAGGTGTTTGCTATACTTCCTGCAGCCACTTGTTTAGAAGTTACTAATTGCGAGAATGCTGGCATCACTATCTATTTGGATAGTCAGTCGGCACTACAAGCATTGGAATCTCCCAAAGTGACCTCCACACTAGTGCAGGAGTGCAAACAGGCTTTGGAGAAACTGGCCTGCCCCAAGAGGGTGGAACTAGTGTGGGTCCCTGGTCACAAGGGAATTAAAGGCAATGGAAAAGCCGATGCCCTTCCAAGGAAATGAACGGAATTTCATATTGTAGCTCCGAAACCTGCAATAGAAATATCCAAAAAGCATCAGCGGAAAGAAGTCCTTGATTGGACCTGGAAAAGAACAGGTAAAGAATGGAGGGAATGCACTGGGCTTAGACAAGCGAAACAATTTATCAAAAGTCCCTCTCCCTCCAAAACAAAGTAGCTGCTGGGCCTAACTAGGAAAGAAATCCGACTCCTCATTGAACTACTAACAGGCCACTGCAGACTTAAAAGACATTCACAGACCTTCTTTTCGATGATCAGGCAATGGTTCTCCTAAAATGAGCGTTCTGTCAGAAGAATTAACTATATGTTCTCCTCTCACTGCTTGGACATTTCCAACAGCTTCAGGACCAAATCCTAATTTTCTTTGAATAACATTTGGATCAAAGTCAGGATACAGCTCAGGAGATGGATAATATTTCTTTGAGTGACTTTTGATTTTAACTGGTATAAGACCTACAATTCCATTTTAATTTTCAGTCACTGCGAGAATCTCTTATTCTTTTTGTCTATCTTTTCTTCTAGCCTCCTTCAAACTAGCACTGGCTTTCAAAGAAAATTCATTTTTGGATATATTATTTTTAGCATATATCTCTTCATTTTCATCCTCAAATGTTCTAATGCTATCTTCATTTGCATCATCTTTAGCATGCATGTCTTCATCTTTATCCTTAAATTCTCTAATGCTATCTTCCTTAGCTTCATCTTTAGCCGATTCGTCTTCATCTTCATCGTCAAATGCTCTATTGCTATCTTCCTTAGCACCATCTTTAGCACATCTATCTTCATCCTTAAATCTTCTAATGCTATCTTCCTTAGCTCCATCTTTACCATACATGTCTTTTTCTTCATCCTCAAATGCTCCAACACTAAAAACCTGGCTACGGATTGATGATGTCCTTTTACTTTCATTAGCTTTTAGAGGAGTGTCAAACAGACTAAACCTTCTGTCGATAAAAGACTTATTAAAACAATGTTAATCGTTATTTCCAATAGAAATTTTATCAGCATTAATAACACTCTGGTACTTAATTTTAAACTTGCATACCTTTTCCTGTATCCTTTGGCCATTTCCAGTTGTGACATTATTTTGTCATCAGATACATAATTTTCTATTAAAAAATCAAATATTTCCTTTTCATGGGATTTTAAAATCTCTTATTTCTTATTCAGAAGCTCTGAGCAAGCATAAGTACTTTACGACGGTAGGAAGGACGAAGCCTCTTCAATTCTTCTTAAAAATGGGATCCGGAAGATGAATCTTTCAAAGCACTTTATCAAACGTTTTAGTTTTGGCTTGAAATTCCCAGAGGCACCCCCATAAACTGTACAATAGTGGGGGAATATTAACGGGAGTTAATGGGTTTGAAATGAAAATAGGTGACGGAGGTATTTAGACGTTTTAGTGTGGATAAAGTACGGCGATGTTGGATACATGTTTTTTCCTGGAAAGCGTTTGATCAAAGGTTATTCCAAGGTTTTTGATGGAGGGATAAAATTTGATGAGATTATCATGTAGAAACAGGGTTGGAATATTATGAACATTTTTAAGGAAGTGATTGGAGCCTATTAAGATTGCCTTGGTCCTCTCAGAATTCAACTTCAACTTGCAGCTCTCGCACAGTCACAAATATTATCCAAGCCTTCTTGAAGTTTTTCTGTGGCTGGCAATAGGTCAGAAGATGGGAAGGACAGGTATATATGGAAATCGTCTGGATAGACGATCACTGGTATCACTGGTATTGGGAGTGATGGATCAGGGGGATAAGGTCATTAATGTAAATAGAAAACAAAGAGAGGAACATTTTGGACACCGCAGGAGAGAGGAAGGGTCTTAGATGGAGATTGGCCTGGCACAAATACATCCTTGGACCGATCCTTGAGCGAAAAAAATTGAAACAACGCAGGGCACTGTTGGATAGAAGAAGATTTTGCAATGTAGTAAGGAGGATGTTTTGGCTAACAGCGTCAAATGTTTAGGAAAAATCTCGACTGATGAGGATAGTAAGGTTTTGGTAATGTATGCTTACATGAGGAGATAGTGATAACCAGAATTAATTGTGAACTCATCCAGAATACATTCAGATTATAAACAAAGGCAAATATCATACCTGAACTAAGAACTACTCAGGCCTGTTTAGGGGTAAAAAGCCTATCAATAAGGAACATCTATAAATATTAGAACGGTTTCTGTCGAATGACCAACTCATCATCAACCACTTCATCGCTTATAAAATATATCAATAGCGTTGGAGCTTGGATTAGGCAACTACTATACTGATAGGTGTTTATTTTAACGATCTCATAAAAAAGAATTAAAGGGATAAAAATCTATGTCTTTAATTCCAGAATTTTAATTGGCTTAGAAAATAGTTCTGTTAGACCAATACAATGGCGAGAATTTTTTTAAAAAGTCAAATAACCTATGTTCGCTTGATTTTATTATATTTTCTGGAATGTATGTTTTCTTCCAAATATCTGAGTAAAATAAATACGTACAAAATAATAATAAATAAAAATAAAACAGAGGATTGATTTACTTCAGATTCAAAACAAAGAGAAGACAACGGAATACGAAATCTTCCTGAATATTTTTGCATTACTGCCGAAAGAAAGGCTCTGGGTAACAAAAGAGCAGACATTTTAACAGGTTGAGGGAAAGGCCTTCTCTTCACCGATTTTATCATCCAACTGCGTATAAATCGCACACTTCGTTTAAGATCCGCTAACCAAGAAGCTGAAAAAAAAAATATAGATACAGCAATAGTTTTGTTGATTTTCATATTTTTTAAAATAACATTTTTATTATATAGAAACATAATATTAAAGTGATTAAATTATCATAAACCGAGAATTATAAATAAAATAATTATACGGTTTGCGGCGTCTATTAACAAAAAAAGAAAAATCCCAATTCTAAAACAGTGCAAAAAAATTTACCGATATATATATCGGTTTACCATCTTTGTAACTTTGTGTTTTGCATTGCGAATTAAATTTTTAATAAATAGGTATTTATTTTTGCCATATAATCATATTTCCAAAAGTTGACTTAAAAAAATAGAAATTATTTCTTTTTGTTGGTAAACGCCTCATTTATTTAATTTTATCAGTACAAATGAAGAATCTAGTCGTGAGATAACTAGTATAGCAGAGGCCAACAGTAGGTTTGTTGCTGGGGTATATGGAGCTGATTTCATATGAATTTATAAGTGACCTGAATTAATACGTGGCATTAGTTTTTGCTTAGAATCTCAAAATTGCATATACTAAGGTAGTACAGTTCAGAGGCTCGTTTTTCAAATTTTTCTTAAATATATCTTGAAACATATAAAATTCAGCAATAGTCTGCCATATTGTGCGTATCCCATTAAACGCACATGATGGGATTCCCATCTTCCTTGGTAGCGATCCTCCATGATTTTAATATCTTGTTGAAATCTTCCACAGTTGTCTCCTAAATCTTCAGGAAAACGGTTCAGGTGGATGTGTAAATAGTGCACCTTTATACTTATGTTGAACTCAAGGGATTTGATTTTTTTTGAGCATATTTTTTACCAGTTCAACTTGATTTTCTGCTTTTCGTCGGCCCAGAAAATTTCCGACAACTGAAACAAAGGCTTTGTTTTTCACTCAGCCTCATTCATGAAATTTACGAAGGCTCGGTCTATAACGAATTTTCTTATTTCTGAGCCGTTCAATATCCTGCTTTATTTTTTTTCTTACTCAAGTGAGATATTTCCTTTTACAAGTGGAAGCAGCTTGATTCAAGCAGCCGTGCACTGGGGCGAGCTAACGCAACGGTTGGACATTAGGAGAAAAGACAAAAGTTAAAATTTGGAAGTTTGACTGAATTAGTGTTGCCCTAAATCGGTCTTGGCAAGACCTTGCAAGACCAAGGCCAAAAGAGTCTGATTGTTGCAAGACCAAGACTGGTAAAAAAAAAAAAGTCGTTTTTGTCAATAAAAATTAAGGCAAAATAGTTACTAATACTTGACAATTTTAGTTACTATATGTTAAAAATTGGTATGAACAATATACTTTTGCATTTAACTCTTCTAATTTTTCATTCGGGCTCTATCTAATTGGCGAACAGGTAACTGCAAGACTAGTGCTAGACTCTTGCGCAAGACCAAGACTGGTCTTGGTCTCGCATTTTGGGCAACACTGGTGACGAACTAGCATCCTTTTCCGGTCATGCCAACAATTTTTAACTTAATTGGCGAGTTTATAATAATGTCCTGATGTGAGATAATAGGAGAAGGAATGCAAACCATCTTTTTTATATTTAGAGTTGGTTTGTCGATATTTTTTGTTGAATCCTATCAGTATGTGCTGGGCAGAATTAGGTACTTTTAGTGAATCCTAAGACACCTGAAATATCGGTTTTTATAAATAAACATAGTTGTTACGATGTTTCAAACAATCGCAAGCTATTTTGGTCCATTTCGCAAATCGCCCGAAATTATTGAATATTTACTACGCGGAAACGTTTGATTTAGAGTGACTACCATTATTTTTTATTTAATTAAATTTTTTTACCAGCGTATTCCGAGTTACCCCGACTCAGTTTTTGGCTAAATAAAATCTAACTTCTTTTCAAATTTCTTTTTTATATTGTTAGGTATCTAGTGAATATAAAAAATCCAATTTCCGCCCTTGAAAGCCTTGTGGGTTTGCTACAGTGCTCTAAAAACCACTTCAATTTTTGTTGGTTTTCGCTAAATATCTGCTATTCAGAGCGACATATATACAAATATGGTTACATTCAATCTTAAACAGCTTGATATTATCTAACATTTTTTCAAAATTTATCCATTTCGATTTCTTTACAATAGTGCTCTTTCAGTTATGAATGGAATTGGTGTGTACTAAGCAAATTATAAAAATATCATGAGTTAATTGGGCAAGTTTAAAAAAAAATATATATTTTTTAATATTACATTCAGGTAACTTTATATATTTATATTTTATTTTTCTTATATTTTTTTTATATTTTATTTTCTCATTTTTTATTATCTTTTTTACCATCATTACTTTTGTTTCTCATACCTTGTTATCTGGTTATTTTCTTAGCCCTGATGAAGGCCTGAACTTCAGGTTGAAACGTCGGCATATGTAAAAAATAAATATTATAATTTATTTTTTGCCTTCCTTTTTTGACTGAGCACCCCAACTATTCTTCTCTTCATTTATATTTTAGTATAATGTATCGTTATGAAATAGGTAATAAGTTATACAATATCTGAACAATGTAATGTTTACAATACAAATTACAAGGCATGAATTTTCAACAATCTCTTGGTATCTACCGCGAATCTTTTTACAATATTTATATTACGTGAAATACTTGTACTTGCAGTACTGATATTGCATGAAATAATTATTTTGAACAAAACAATTATTGTTTAGCATAAAATACCTGATATGAATACTTGATAATTTAGAGCAATAATGTGAAAAAATATTTTGTTCATAGAATATTTGTTTTAAAGAATTAAAATGAAAATAGAACTGCTTATCACGTTTCAAAATATTGCTAACACGTGTATAAATACAATATTTCAAATTTTTTTTTAAAGAAAAAATTGAACAATTATATCAGCGGACAGATTAAATTTGTCTAGTTCCAATAGATCTATCTAGTTAATGATTAACAATAGAAGAGATATATTTAACAATCTGTTAATCGATTCTGATTTCATCATATCAAGTTTAGGAACTGATTAAATGTACAAGTGATTAGAAATGAGAAGTTTGCGTTCTAAAAGTGAATTTATTTTGTTAGATTAGTTTATTTTTGTTTAGTTTAGTATCTTTTAGTTTATATACATTTGCTTTTAGTATTATTATATTGCTGGTTATTATTTTTATTTATTGTGAGCAGTATGAATGAGGTACTCTTTATTGTCCTTAAATGTGACAGATTGTAATATATCTCAAATTGAGATATTGAGATTGAGATTGAAATTGAAGATAGAAATTGAGATTCTCAATAAAGAAATTTAATCTAAAAAAAAAAAAAATGAATTAGAAAGTGAATTGGAAATTATTTTTATGAAATTCCATATATATTGATGCCTTAATTCATATTCGAAATTACACGTTTATAGTAAAATTTCCTTATCTTAAGTCACTTTTAGTTCATCCTACATCCCAGGCCATTTCATCTATTGAGTATAACGCAAAAAATTAAAATTTGGCCTATGATAAATTATTAAACCGTTATAGTAATAAAAGAATCACTGCGGCCTATCATAATAACAAAATTATATAGTTTAAATCATTTTCTGTCGATAATTCTTCCAACACTAGAAATTTTCTGGACACATTTAAAAATATTTATAATACAGCATGCCTTAATGATTTTAAACTCAATAACCTTGCTGATTTTGTTTTACTGCGTCTAAGATTGACCCTAATACAAGAAGAATGTTTGAGAATAGTCTCGGCGAAGAGTTATTTTTGAAGAATTTTGTAAATTTGTTAGGTCACAATTTAGAGTCGCAGAAATGTGTTCCGAGCCTCCTATCTCCATAATTTCACAGAATAAGTTCAACGAAAGACATTTTTAATCTGCGATAGATCGAAAAATCAGAAATCTAAATTAGAATGCCCAGTCTGTAAAACAAGCCATACAATTATAAACTGACCTCAGTTTCTGGATGCAAATGATAATGGTCATTATGACTTACTAAAGAAGTCTGATTTATGCTTTTCGTGTACGGGACCTCATCGCTTGCCTCAATGCCAAAGTAAAGGTTGTTGCCATGTTTGTGGCAAAAAGAGTCACTATACGTTGTTACACAAGGCTGCAAACACTGAGCCCTCCCAGTCTCGATTAACAAACACAGCGGGCAATTCTCGTGCAGTTTCGTGCAATGCTACCACCAACTCCCAGGTACTTCTGAGTACTGCCTTGGGTTGAATTTGTTCAAGTTCAGGTCAGTGGTATTCATGTAGAATGGTGACAGATCCAAATTATTATCATTCTATAATTAATTTAATTGCCACTGATCTAATGAAAAAGTTACGCCTTCATTCCCGGGTTAGTCCTCTTGCGGTGTCTGGAGTAGGTTATACCTCCATCCCTTCATCTTCAGCTGAGGTTAGAGTGAAGTTGGGTTCTATGAGGAACAACAAAATATACGAATTTACAGCCAGAGTGTTGCCTTGTACCGGTGGAAGTTTGCCATACTTTGTCTTGTCTCAAGAAGTACCGAATAGATTTGCTTTGATTAAACTTGCGGATCCTCAATTCCATACGCCGGGTAAAGTTGATCTATTTCTGGGAGCTGAGATGTACAAAGAGGTTTTAAGTGACCTTCTTTATTTCTGAAGGGTCAACCGAAAGCTACTCATACCTCTTTAGAATGCGTATTATTTGGGGACACACTCTCAGAAGCCTCTGCAACTCCTTCAGTACCTACTCTATTCACGCAGACTAGCCTTTCCTTACAGGAGGAATTACAGTGATTTTGGGAGACTGAGGAAGTCACAGTTTCAATTCTGCAGTTTGCGAAGATCACTTTAAAAAGACATGGACTCCCGCTGGAAATTCGAATTAGTAGGAATTCCGAAAAAGTACTTTCTGTTATACCCGAGGGTAGTCAAGAAGTTCCGTTGTGCCTGGATGGAGATTCCTCGACTCTCAACATTTTGTGTTCCTAAACTCCATCGTTTTATGTATTCAGTAGAGGAAAGTGAGCCTATTATTACAAAGCGAGGTATTCTATCCTTCATTGCCGAAATTTTAGATGTAAATGGATATATCAGTCCGGTAATTTTTTCCATTAAATGCATATTACAACGTTTGTGGCTGCTTACGTATGGTTGATTGGGATGATGAGTTGCCCTCTAATGGGTCTTCATTGCGGAACGTTTTCTTTGAAGAATTTCCGAGCTTTAGAAATGTTTCCCGCCCTCGTTGTATTGTCAGCCAGAACGCATCATCTATGCAGCCAATCGCCTCTTCAGACTCTTCCGAGAAAGGTTGCGGGTGTGTGATCAACCTGAGGGTTGGGTGGCCGAGAGAATCTACTAAAATTCATTTGTTAAGGGCAAAAAGTAAGGTGGCCCCACTCCAAGGTTCAATCAGTGCCTCGTTTGGATTTAAACACTGCTCTTCTTTCCTCCAGAGTACTCGCGAACATTGGTAAACTTAGAAGTCGTTTGAGAATTAATGAAGTATATTGTTTTTCGGATTCTCGTAACGTACTTTATTGGTTACAGACACCGCCTCCTGAACTTCAGATTTATGTTGCCAATCGCGTAGTCCAGATTTTAAAAGTAATTGAACCCAGTTGTTGGTACTATATCTATACAAAACAGAACCCTCTGTTTGCCTCAAATAATGCGTTGATTGTTTATCGTGAGGCCTCACTCCACACCAGATACTTTCTCATAATCTTTATTGGAACGGTCCGGAATTTCACGTTACCTCCTTCTGACTGCTCTATTTACCATATTGAACCTCCATCCGTACTGCCTGAAGTGAAAACAATATCTCTGTTAGTGGCTGAAAAACTTAATGATTTGTTGATTTGCCTGAAAAAGTACTCGAGCCTTTTAAAGTTGCAAAGGGTGTTTGCTTTTATTTTAAAATTTATTAAATATTGCCAAAATCGGGAGCACGGTGCAGGAGCGGCCCATTCCTCCCATGATCGATGGCGTATAAATTTCCCCATTTCATCTTTCCACGAAATTTTATTGTTGCCCTTTTCTTAAAAACAGTGCAAGTGAAAAGAGAATTAGACGAAATGTAGATCATTTTCAATTACACTTGCTGTGGTCTCGTCCATGTTTTTCTCTTGTCCCCTGGTTATATCTTTTCATCCAGAAAATTCATACCTGTCAAAATCTGCTCCCCTCTAAAATTCTAAATCCCTTCAAAACGTGTCCTCCTTAAAAATTTTAATGGCGAAACGAGCGCCGTGAAACCCGAATCTGGGCTCCCCTGGCACGGTGTTTTGGCTACTGGAGTCTTGACTGCTGATGAGCCTAAGGATTTATTACTGATTTATATCGAACTTATTCATAGGAAATTCTTGACCCGTTGCTGATACCTACTGATTCACATTTACCACTCCTTTTGTGTGATGATTACCACAGGAATTACTTGGGTGGGTATTGCATGGTGGGCCCCTGTTGGTCCAGTCGCTTCATTTTGGATCTCATATCTGAGAATATGCCACAAAAATAATGCGAAGCCACCGGCTCCGAAAATGAGTGACTTACCGTCTTTCAGGGTGACCGAGGATCGTTCCTTTCAGCGAGTTGGAATAGACTATGGCGGCGCCTTCGTTTTGAAGATTTTCATTAAGCGCAATGTTCCTAAGTCGAAATGTTGGTTAGCTCTGTTCGTATGGATATCTACCAAGGCCATCCATCTAGAATTTGTGACGGACCTATACACTCCTTCATTTATTGCCACATTAGACAGATTTATTGCCAGATGAGGTTTGCCTTCGCATATAGTGACTGTGTAACAAATTTCGTTGGAGCATCCAAGAAGTTGAAGTGAGTTTTATAAATTTGTTAAGGGCCAGAACAAACCCATTTTTGACTATTTGGGTCGGACGGGTATAAATTGGACCTTTACTCCTCCAGCATCTCCTCATTTCGGTGGTATTTAGGAGGCAGCTATTAAATTCGGCAAGATACACCTTCTATCCAGTTTCATGCGTTGACATATGAGGAGTTTTATACTCTTCTGGTACGAGTTGAAGTTGTTCTCAATTTACATGTTGCCTAAGTAGAACTCATTAGAGTTATTTGCTTTTTTTTTTTTTTTATTAAATTGGAAAGTTGCCTAAACAATATATCTTTGTTGTTTTGTCCAGTTGTGAAGAAGTTTGTTATGAATTACAATAAGTCTAACATATTAAAGCAGACGTAATACCCTTATAGAGAAAATAGTGAAAATAGAGAAAATAGTGAACCCATATGGCTTCAGGATATATACTAAATAAAGGAGGGCTCTTATTTAGTAAAATATTATAGAATTTTTACTAAAATTATATTAAGTTCGAGTTCAGATTTAATTTTTACTTATTTTTTATATTCTGCCCACAGTTATTGTAAAAATATAATGATGTAAGCAGTGGAAACTATAACTTGAAATCAGAATATTTTATATACTGGTGCTGTATATATAAAACTGTATAAAACGGTGGACTATCAAGCATTTAAGGTATTCCACAACTAAACAAAAGTAACGACGAGGCAAGTGAAATCCCACTTCTTTCATGAAGACCTTCCCCCAACTCCTTCATAAACTCTTTCTCTTTACAAATCCTCTTCTTCACCAGTTTCCATAATTTCACCCGACTAAACTCATGCTTTTTATCTACCTCCTCATATATTATTCCACCAACCTATTCTCACTTTTCTGAAATTCTTTTTTTTTCTTATTTACTGTGATAATCTTTACTTTTCCTACATCTATTCTACTGACGTTATTTCCTCTGTTGTGGAATCTCACACGAACTCCACTGTATTTGATGGGAATCCCATTAAATTATTAAAACTTTTCCTCTATGATATCCTACGGCTTTTCTTTTTGTCTACAATTTTCCCCTCCAATACTCAGTATTGCCACCTCATAGACATAATTTTTAGATCGCCCTATAAACTGAAATTCCAGCACAACATCTGCTAAAGATTATCGCCCTATCTGTGTTGCATCTCTAATCTTTGCAGATATATAAAATTTTCAAATTTCTCGTCAAAACTAGTCAATCCTCAACAATCTGGTTTTCGATCTATCTGAAATAATACGTTCTAGTCAAAATTTTTAACCACTTTCATACTGCTATGGATAAAAAATAGTTAAGTGTAATTTAGCATGGTGCAAAGATCTTCTTATATCAATGATCACCCTAATTCAATTCATCAACCTGCTTGATCGATTCCCAAATCTACTAATACAGGTTCAGTACCTGGGAAATCTTAAATAAATTAACGTTAAACGCAATGTAAGCACAGACCATTATTAATGGTTTCAATTTCCTTCTCAGATCTATTGCCACATTTCCTACGTTAGTCCTAAAAGATTATCCCATCACCTTCAGATCCTTTGTCCCCAGGCCACTTACCTGCAAGCTCACGTTTTCTAGCTTATTTTTCTCCATTTTGGTTTATCGTGGCCTGTCGATTGTACTCGAGGACATATTGAAGCGAATCATAAACTTCAACCTCTTGGTCCCCCCACAGAAAACAAGATCTCTTGTTTCTAACCTCTATACTGCTTCCTAAAAAATCAAAACCTTTGAACGTTCTTTTCTAGCTCGCTCCTCCCCTTTCTGGATTTCTTTATCATTTAACATACTTACATTTAACATAAGATTAGTTCACTTTTATTTATTTATTTTCCATTCTTCCTTCTGCTTATTCATTTATTTATTATTATTCTATATTATCTGGTTATTTCGTTGTGTTATCTAGAGTTGAATTTATTTTTTTGCGTATGAATGTTAACGTTTTATGATATCCTGATTGAACTTTGGATATATTGTTTTGGCCAGTACTATATTTTATTTATCAGAACAAATGTTTTATTCTAGAATAAAGTTTATTTTCTGTTCTATTCTATATTTTTGAGTTCGATGTTTCTTAAACTAGATATAATATATATTTAGGATTCTATAATCTACAATCAATAAGTATACTTATAGCCATTCACTGTATAGGTAGGAGGATTTCATTAGTAGGTACGCAGGTATTTATACCTATGTACTTAGTATTTGGCTAATAATTTAATGTTGAGTATAGTTAGATTTACATGTCAAATTTTCAATTAATTATCACTAAAACCAATGATATAAATATTGTTATACCTAATGCTTTTGTCGTAGGAAAAGATTTTTGCTGCCATGTCGTTGGAACATTATGTCTAACAATGCTTTCCGCAATACCATCGGTTTCATCAGTTATCATCGAAATACCAGCTAATTCGTTTAACATCCTTCTAATGCTATAACGGATTTCTTCAAGGAGCTGGTAATATCGAATAACCTCTTCTCGCAAGTGAATTGTTAGTGGATTAGTGTAGTCCAAACGGAACCTAAACAAAAATATTTATATATTAATAACATATATTTATGAAGTAATTTATCCATGAAACAATATATGTGCAGGGAGAATCTAAAACGATGTGTTCGAACCCCGGATTGAAAAAAAAAATAGTGAGAGTAGTTTACTTGCAAAATTGTGTACAATAAGTTCTAAAGATACTAACTTACATTAGTCTGGAGATGAATCAGGTGATTGGAAAGCAGTGCTGACAACACCAGCCCTATTTGTGGCTGTCATTATCTTCTTCTCAGCTCCCATAATCAGCATAGACCCTAGTCGACTTAAACGGTTAACGGTCTATGTTGAGCATAGAGGAATGGTAAAAAGAGTAAAAGTGTTTTAATGAGGTAAGTTGGGGTGTACTTTAATTATCCAGTTTGATTCCATTTTTCAATGGATATTATGTATGATTTTAGAGTTTGGAATACACCAGTTGCGTTATTATTTACAGATAACACTCATGCCATCAGCTTAAAAAGGGAAGGCAGTGGTAGATAAAGGATTAGAATATTAACTGTTAAAAAATATCCTAGAAGCATGAATTCTACTTAAGGATTTGGGATTGTATTTTAAGGGACACAGGTGGAATGAGGAAAGAAGCTTGAACAGGTAAAATTGATAGAATAAATTTAAGGAGAAAATGATGGACGAAGCTATTATTAGTCTCGTGTGTAAACTCGGTCGAACTCCGAGAAACACTCATTCATTACCCACTCTAATATGTAGAATACAACATCCATGACAAGGAGAAACCGGAGAATAATTAAATGGTATTTTCAAAATCAAAACTAGAGGTCAAAAAAAGAGGTCTAGCTGGTAAAAGGTTGGATGATTGAAAATTCTTTTTAAGTTGTTAGGTATGTAGCAAATATAAAAAATAAAAGTATCTGCCATTGAAATCCTTGTAGGCCCACTGCAGTGCTCTGAAAAACATTGAAATTTCCAACTTTTTTTGGTTTACACTAAATATCCGCTTTTTAAAGCGAAATAGATAAAAAAATGGTTATATTCAATTTTAAAATTATCTAACATGTTTGTAAATAACTTTTTTTTTCTTTAAACCCAACCGGAAGCGAATTATCCAGCGAACTTCAATGAACTTAAATGAAATATTGTTCATTTATTTTAATGACATTGGTCATCAACAATAACTGTTTTTCTTGTTACTTTTAAATGAACTTTATTTTAGCGTATTTAAAAAAAAATAGTATTATTCAAATTCAAATTATTATTTAAGAGGAGTTCTTAACGATATTACAACTCATGTTATCTTATTAGTTTGTACACATAAAACCTTAATGCCCAATGCCCTTGATTGTATCAGATTGTATTATTATTCTTTCAATAAAAAAGTAAAAGTATTTTAATTTTATCTATTTCCTACATTTATCAAGTGTAACCTCCACTAGCTTTTTATCCACCGATATCTTATTATGATGTTTTCTTATTCTTATTTTACCTTTACTAGATCATTACATATTCATTTTTCAATTTCTTTATTCGTTAACCCTCATTTTCTTCACCTGTTAACCCACTAGCGGATCCAGGATTTAATTTTGGGGGGGGGGCTTCAACCCGAAAGCTGTTTTTTTCATAAAAATAACGATAATTACTTTGGAAAAAAAGAAAGAAACTAACTACCTGTATGAAATGGTGTCTAAGTGATTCCTAAAGCCATTTTAAATGTAATTGCACAAACATTAATACTTTAAGAGATACTTTTTAAATATTTTTTACGATAAAACATGGCTATATTTTACTATTTTGGGGGAGGGGCTTCAGCCCGAAAGCCCCCCCCCCCCCCGTAGATCCGCCCGTGTGTTAACCTACTAGTGTCTAATGTATCCATCCAATCCATCAATCCAAATCAATCTAATGTAACCTAATTGATATTTTAACTACACTGTCACCCACTATATCTCTGAGGTCATCATATTATTTCATTATCAGACAACTGTTTCTTATTTAATATCTACTAATAATTCATTTATTTTATTTTCACCATGTACCTTTTATATTTTGTAGCCCTGATGAAGACCTACAAACAGGGTCGAAACGTCGGGGCAACTATGAAAGTACAATCTTGACTATTCAGTATTTCTTTGACCGCACCCCCCGACCAACTCGTTCTCATATTATATCACGGCACAGGCGGATCTACGGGGGGGGGGAGAGGAGGGGCTTCCGGGCTGAAGCCCCCTCCCAAAATGGTAAAATATACAGAAAAAAAAATTAAAAACAACCTCTTAAAGTATTCTTGTTCGTTTAATTACATTTAATAGGACTTCAAGAACCACTTAAACACCATTTCATATAGGTAGTTAATTTCTTTCTTTTTTAAAAAAATTAATTATCGTTATATGTATATGAAAAAAAAATCTTTCGGGCTGAAGCACCTACCCCCCAAAAGTTACATTCTGGATCCGCTAGTGTATCACGGTCAACCATCTCTAGGCCATTATATATAACTTTATTTTGTTACCATCTCAAGATTGTTAGATTTTTTCACAACACTGCTTTTGCAGTTTTGAACAGAGAAATTCTGCAAGTCCATTTTGAACCTCGTCCAGAGAATTTGGAATTTGGAAACAAATGATAAAAATAAGGCTACTGCAAAGCTATGAGTCCAATATTTCTAAATTATGTCACAGATTATTTTACAAGCAGGCCATTAGGGTGAGTTTAACTAACATGTAATTAAAGTAGGGGAAATACTCCAATTTTTCCAAGTGTCTGGTAGTTCCTTCAATGCAAGAAGTGGATAGTGAGAGAAGCTAAATCTCGAGAAAAAAAAACATGAATCCTGTGGACTATTCAAGGTTCACGTATCAAAGAAATTTTTCTGTCAAGGCTTTGAAAAGCTCTTTACGAAAAAAAGATCAAATAAGAAAATCGATCAGACATTCAACAACCAAAAAAAAAGATAAATAAAAAAATAATCTCAGAGCTGGATTGGATTGTTTCTCCTACACCATACTTACAAACATTTCGAAACACCTCCGTCTACCATCTACTTTTCCAGTCAAATGGTTCATTCAAGGAAAACCTCATGCCTTAAGGCGGGATAATCGGGGTTCCGATCTGGGGGAATGCTTATTTAGGGCGTCGATCATCAAGAGTGCTCGCCACTTGTTAGAAATTACAAAAAGTACATACCGTATTAAAATAATTAATTTTAGCCAATTAATAAAGCAACTGTAGAAGAGAAATACCTAGTACTTCCATAAACACTGTTACAAAAGTTGAACTTTGTTTACATCCTTGGGTATTATTTAGATAATCCTTACGTCTATCTGATTATTTTTTTTACATGTCAGGATAATAATCCTAATTATTTTGTATTTTCTTTCGCTCAGTTAACATGGAGTGGGATGATAAAGAAAACCGAATAGCTGTGATCACCTTACTCAAAGTTGGAAAATGTAGGTCAGAGATTTTCAACACTTAGATACCTTTGGGTATAAGCCGTGTGTTTATGTACCGCACTATAAATAAATATAATGAGACCCTATCTGTATGTTACAGACCTCGACCGGGCCCCCACACTGTGAGAACAGCTAATGCAATGAGAGCAGTGGCTGCTCGAATCAGAAGAAACCCATTCGAAAAAAAAAAAATCATGCTTCGGGAAATATCTCTGTCATATCAATTTCTCGCATAATAAAAAGTGACCTTAGGTTAGGTTAGGTCGAAGGTTGACAGGACAAAGGCTAATACTTCCCTAAATAAAATTAGAGTGAATAGAGGCAATGTGCTCCTTGGCCGTTACTCCAATCGTCTTCATCGAAAGATTTTGTTTAGCGATGAGAAAATGTTTACAGTTAAAGATATATTTAATCGTCAAAATGATCTTGTGTTCGCACACAGATCTAAAGAAGCCCAGGAAGTCAATAGAAGAGTGGAAAGAGATAATCAATTTTCCTCAGTGATGGTTTGGTGGGGAGTTTGCTTTGATGGCACAACAAAGCTCCATTTAAGTGAAAGATGGAGTTAAACAGCCGATATATACTATAACTATAACTCGTTTATATAAACGATATAAACTATCAGGACGATATTCTAGAACCTGTTGTCAAGCCTCTAAATGATAATTTGTTTGCTGGAAGTCATTGGGTTTTACAGCAGGATTCCGCACCCGCTCACTAGATTATTGGTTTTGGTCCGAACTGGAGAGGATGGCATGCCACAGAGCACACGCTAACTTGGAAAGCCTAAAATAATCTCTGATCCGAGCAGTGGAGCACTTTCCTCAAGAAGTGCTGCGTGCTGCTAGTAATGAGAGGCCACGGAGATTAAATGCAAAAGGTTGCCATAAACCGAAGAATTATCAGTTCAGTGTTAGCATCCAAAGAAAGAAGACGTGTTTCTATAGTCGCTCACAAATAAGATTTATTAATTTCTTTTTTTTATAACTTTTCACTTATTATTTGTTATTTACTATAAGGATATATATATATATATATTTTAATATAAACTATAAGGATATATTTATTTTATTTCATTTTATCAATTTTTTTTTCTTCTTCTTTTTCTCTTTATTAATTACTTTCTTTTATTACGTTTTATTTTATATTTCTATGGGGGACACCATAGATTTAAATAGCCCAAAGGTTAAACGAAAACGACCTCGGAGTCGTCTTAAATTTGAAGCCGAAAATACGGATGGTACGATCCCAATCAGCCCATCGTTCTTAAAAATAGAAAGATCAGATGATCAAAATTTTGAAAAAGAATCCCCGTTCTTAGTAAATAAGTTTCTTTCAGGTTTAGTAGGAGGCTTAAAAAATGTGAAAGCTAAGAAAGCTAAGAAATGGTACATTACTTATTGAAACAAAAAACAGAAAACAATCAGAAGAACTATTAAAATGTAAAAATTTTGGTGGCCAATTTCCCGTACAGGTTTCCCCCCACAATACCTTAAATTACAGTAAAGGAGTGATTCGATGTTACTATCTCCAATTTCTAGAGATTAAAAATGAATTGTCTTCA